GATGAGGCCGTTCGGGAGCCGCGGGCGGCGCCAGCGCAGGGCGAGCGCCGAGTCCGAGAGCCGCTCGACCAGCAGCGCCTCGGGGGGGCCGGGCACTGGGGGGGCACGGGGGGTCACCCCCAGCCGGGCACCCCCCATAGAGCCCCGGGGGGGCCGGGCACGGGGGGGATGGGGAGGGGCCCCCTCCCATGGGGGAGGGGTTGGGGGTCCCGGGGGGTTTGGGGAGAAATTCAGGAAATTCCGGGCTGGGGGGGGCAGTTGATTTGAGGCCCCTCAGGGGCTCCCAGGAAGGACCCCCCTCCCCTCCCCCCAAGACATTCTTGGGACCCCCCCCTCGCTCCGGCTCCAGGGGGTTTTGCCCCCCCCCCCCGAGACCCTCCTCGGGGGTCTCGAGGCTGCTCCTCACCGGGAGGGGGTCTGGCCCCTCCCATTTCCATCCCCATCCCCATTCCCGATCCCATTCCTGCTCATTCTCATCCCCATCCCCATTCCCACTCATTCCTGATCCCATTCCCATCGTCCTCGGGGGACTCAAAACTGCTCCTCGCTGGGGGGGCCTTGCCCCCTCCCATCCCTATCCCCATTCCCGATCCCATTCCCGCTCATTCCCGATCCCATTCCCGATCCCAATCCCGTGCGCACCGTCCTCGGGGGTCTCGAAGCGCTGCTCCTCACCGGGAGGGGGCTTGGCCCCTCCCATCCCCATCCCCATTCCCGATCTCGTTCCCACTCATTCCCATCCCCGTTCCCATCCCCATTCCCAATCCCATTCCTGATCCCGCTCCCGCGCGCACCGTCCTCGGAGGTCTCGAAGCGCTGCTCCTCGCTGGGGGGGCCCTGGCCGCTCCCATCCCCGTTCCCATCCCCATTCCCATTCCCGCTCATTCCCGATCCCATTCCCGATCCCAATCCCGCTCCCGCGCGCACCGTCCTCGGGGGTCTCGAAGCGCTGCTCCTCGCTGGGGGGGCCCTGGCCGCTCCCATCCCCATCCCCATCCCCATTCCCATTCCCATCCCCATTCCCATCCCCATTCCCATTCCCGCTCATTCCCGCTCCCGCTCCCGCGCGCACCGTCCTCAGGGGTCTCAAAGCGCTGCTCCTCGCTGGGGGGGCCCTGGCCCCTCCCATCCCTCTTCCCATTCCCGATCTCATTCCCACTCATTCCCATTCTCATTCCCGATCCTATTCCCGCTCATTCCCGCTCCCGCGCGCACCGTCCTCGGGGGTCTCGAAGCGCTGCTCCTCGCTGGGGGGGCCCTGTGCCCTCCCATCCCCGTTCCCATTCCCATTC